TGCCCCCCTCAGCCCCCCAGGTTCCCGGCTGTGCCGTCCAGCCTGCCCAGCTCTCTAGAAAGGCCTGGGAACAAGCAGGCACATCCCCCTGCCATGGGAGCCCCCCGGGGCTGAGCACCCATGTCGGGGCCCGGTAGTCGTTCACCAGAGGGCCGACTCCCTGGGGCCACACTGAAGATTCTTCTCTCCCCCCCATTTGTTCCCCTCAGGATCCTCAATTCCTGCACAGACCTGATGAAGGTGAGTGGCTGGCCGGGACCCCAGGCTGGACTGTGTGCCTGGGAAAGTCAGCGCAGCCATGAGCTGTGTTCTGGTCTTGGCAGGCCATCCGGCTCTTGGTGACAACATCCACCAGCCTGCAGAAGGAAATTGTGGAGAGCGGCCGGGTGAGTGAGGTCCCCCTCTGGTCTGCCCGTGCACCCCTGGATGGGCCAGGTGGGGTCCTTCCCTGTCAGGCCAGATTCCTGAAAGGGCCATGACCTCCGAGCCCTCTTCATCCCAGGCCACAACCCTCTTGGCTTCAGGGGATCTCTGGGCTCCTTTGGGCAGGAGCTCCTGGACCTGTGCAGTGATGAACCCCCCCCCCAAGAATGCACCCAGTGCCCCCCCCCCCCCCCCCCCCCCCCCCCCCCCCCCCGCCATGGCCCCTGGACGTCCTCTTGTGGTGGAGGTGAAGGCAGAGCGGCCGTGGGGATCCGTGGCCACCTGTGACATCGCTAACTGGTCCCTCTGCCCTGCCTTCCTGTCGCCACTAGGGGGCAGCCACGCAGCAGGAGTTTTATGCCAAGAACTCTAGGTGGACGGAAGGCCTCATCTCCGCCTCCAAGGCCGTGGGCTGGGGAGCCACGCAGCTGGTGTATGTCACCCCAGGTGGGGGGCAGCAGGGCGTGTGGTGCTCAGGGTCTGGGGAGGGAGTGTGGCGGTGGCCCGGTGGCTGCAGGGTCGGAGACCCAGGCCTGCCCGGCTCTGTCCGCAGGGAGTCGGCGGACAGGGTGGTGCTCCACACGGGCAAGTACGAAGAGCTCATCGTCTGCTCCCACGAGATCGCGGCCAGCACGGCCCAGCTCGTGGCAGCTTCCAAGGTGAGGCGCAGTGCGTGGCGGCCTCTCGCCTCTGGTCTGGGCTGTGGCCAACGTGTCCCCGTGTGCCAGAAAGCCTCTGTGCGGGGGCCTGAGCATGACCTGCCCCCCACGCCCCCAGGTGAAGGCAGACAAGCACAGCCCCCACCTGAGCCGCCTCCAGGAGTGCTCCCGCGCCGTCAACGAGATGGCCGCCAACGTGGTGGCCTCCAGCAAGTCTGGCCAGGAGCAGATCGAAGAGAGAGGTGCGTGTGGGCCCTGGTAGTAGCTGGGGTGGGGGCAGGCGCACAGACACTCACCCCTGCCCCCCGCCTGCTCTGACCACAGACACGATGGACTTCTCTGGCCTGTCCCTCATCAAGCTTAAGAAGCAGGAGATGGAGTCCCAGGTGAGTGTCTGCCCCTGTTCGGGGGCTGAACTCTGGGCAGGCGGGGGGCTGAACTCTGGGCAGGCGGGTGGCCCAGGCCGTGAGGCCATCCTGAGCGGGCTTGCGGGGCTGCAGGTCCGTGTCCTGGAGCTGGAGAAGACACTGGAGGCCGAGCGTGTGCGGCTGGGAGAGCTGCGGAAGCAGCACTACGTGTTGGCTGGTGCCGTGGGGACGCCCAGCGACGAGGATCCCGGCCGACCCAGTGCTGCCCCCCGCAGCGGGGCCTCCAAGAAGCCACCCCTGGCTCAGAAGCCCAGCGTGGCCCCCCGGCAGGACCACCAGGTGCCGGCGTCAGCGCCCGGGCAGGGCAGGGTCCTGGGCTGTGGTCTCTGTCTCTGCTCCCCAGTCTGCAGGGCACAGGGCCTTGGGGAAGTTGGGAACCTCTGACTGGGAGGAGCCAGTAACATGGGGAGGATGGTGGCAAGGGGAAGAGGGAGGCTGGGAGGCTGGTTCAAGGGACAGACGCAGGGGGCAAAGGGGAGGCAGGGTGTGTGGGGGCCTGGCCACGTCCACTGAGCCCCTCACCTCTGACTCCCGCAGCTCGACAAAAAGGACGGCGTCTACCCGGCTCAGCTCGTAAACTACTAGGCTCCCGAAGGATCCCGGTGGGGAGGCTAGCGGGCAGACCTGGGCCTTGTGTGGCCGCCCCGAATTGGCTCAGGAGCCTCCAAGGGGTGCAGCCCCCTGCCCCATGGCCAAGTTCAATGTCCCCGAGGCCCCCAGCCCTGGCTGAACCCACAGGATCAGAGATCGCGGCGGTTCTCTGGGACGTGAGTCTTCCAGCAGCGGGCACTCGTGGGACCAGCCGGAACCGAGCAGGCCTGAGCCACGGGCCTTCAGGAAATATATGGAACATTTGTAATTTTCAGAGTTAGAGCTTTCCTTCATGAGTCTGGATTCACTCTGGGGAGCAGGGCCCCTGGAGAGGGTGTCTGGGCAGGACCTCCCCTGCCTTTTGAACTCCAGGTCTGAGGTTACTAATGAATAACAAATCCCTGTTGGCTGCCGGGGCCTGGGCAAGATGTCACCTATCTGTGGCCTTCCTGGGGCACGGAGTCCTTGCAGACGGGCCCGGGGTGGTCTTGGACAAAGCAGCCCTGGTTCGGGGTGCCTCCCTGTGAGGCATCAGGGGCGGAGACAGAGGATGGCCCTTATCGGGGGTGGCCGGCCGGGCAGTGCAGCGCGGCACAGGTGCTGTGCTGCTGTCACTCCCGGAATCTCTTCTCCCACCTGTGGTGACCATCCTGTTCCTGGTTTTCATGCCCCTTCTTCTGCCCTAGAGGCCCTGTTCTGCGGGTTGCCCATCGCCTACCCCCTCCTCACCTCTACCCTCCTCTCAGTCTAGCCCGCCCTCCTGAAGGCCTCCCCAGCTCAGACACCAAAAGTCTGGGAACTAGGACGCCTGCGGGCCATTCTCTAAGCCAGAGGCACCTTGTGTCCCTAGGAAGCCTCCCCACCCCAACCCTCCACCCCCTGCTCCCAGCCGGGCTAGTGGCAGTCCCACTTGGAGGATTTGTAAGAATGTGTGTTCTTTGAGCCCCCACCCTGACTCCAGGGAGGCGCTGAGAGAAAAGGACCAGCACCGCGGGCCCCAGAAGCTTCCCTGTCCCCCCTGCCTCCCAGCGGTCCAATCCCAGCCATGTTCTGGAGGGGGGCACAAGGTCCAGCTTTTCTGCGTGCCTTTAGTATTTCCTTGTTGGAAGAGTCAGATGGGCAATAAAACGCACGTGGACCGTTGCCACCGCCCTCTGGTGAGGGGCCGCCACGCCTGGGCTGTTCATTTCTTTGGAGCCTGAATGTGTGACACGGGTTGGGAGACCATTAGCTTCTGCAGGGGACAGAGCGCCTGGAACCACGGAAGAGCTGCTTCTGGTTCTGCCAAGAAGTGCCCTGGCCTGCGTCCTGGGAGGTTTGGGACTTAAGGTCCCGGGACGGACGCCGGTGTGGTGAGTCGTTGGCTGGGGGCTTCCCGCTCCGGCCTCCCCGCCCCCTCAGCCCGCTCAGAAACCAGGCTGTTTTGTGAAGGGGAGGAGTGACCACGGAGTCCTGGCAGTTAAGAATGTCCCCCAGCTGGGGGCAGTGGCGGTGACCCTGAGTCCTCACTGGTCAGGGCTTGACCGGCGCAACCACACCGAGCCTTCCCCGAGAACCTACCTGGCCTCCGGGCTCCCAAGAGCACAGCTGGCTGTGCGGCCCCGCTTTCCCTGGGGATGCGGACGGCTCCCGGCCAGGCAGGCTGGCCTCGGCGCGCTGCCCGCAGAGTGCGCGCCCCCTTGCCCCGCAGGCCCCAGCCCTTGTGGAAGCGCCATCGTGCAGGTCGGGGAGACAAGAGCCCCACTCCCTGGGCCTGGCTTTCCCATGGGGTGAAGTGGGGCCCCGCCTCGCTCCAGCCTGGTTGGGAGGTCGGGGTGGGGCTGTCGAAGTGCTCTGAAACTCCCCGAACAGAACGGTGGGGCCGGAGCCTGGTTCTCATTGGTAAGGGAAAAGCGCTTCAGAACGACGTCAACGCAAGGGGCTCGGCTCCGCGGCACACAAACCGGTGCAGACAGCCCCGCGTGGACCACACTCGCTCCGGATCCGGAGAACTGCTAGCCCGACTCGACGCAAACCTGCCCCTGGAAGCCGTGGGGCCGGACCTCTGCAACCCCCACCCCCACCGTGCCCCCCGACCTCCTAAGCACAGGGGCCCCGAGTGGGGAGGTGAGGATCAAACAAAGCTGGGCTGGCGAGAAGCCACCGAGCACACAGCCCCGTCTAGCAAGTGCCCCCCACAGAAGGCTACAAATCGAGTTCGAAGCTTCCTAAGCAGCCACCAGGGAAAGAGCAACTGTCAGACACAAATTCCCAAAAGAGCAAACGGATTCCTCAGGCAGAGCCTTCCTCTTCCTCCCAGGACCACCCCAGCAGTGTCCCTCACATGTCCTCCTGGAGCATGGAGGAGCAGGGGCTGGCAGCACTCCTGTTCTGGGGGACGCAGTGAGGAAAGTCCCTCCCAGGGCACCACAGCCCCCAGGGGGGTGGGGGGGGGCGCTGAGGGGCTGGCGGGGTGCAGCCCTGGAGGCAGGGTCCCTCTCCCAGCCTCGAGAGGGAAGCAGCACCTACCTCCACCTGGGACCGTTGGGGGGGCTCTGGGCTCCAGAACAAAAGGTCCCCTATCCAATTCGGTCATTTGAAACAGTCAAGGGCCTGAGTGTCCCCGAGCAGTGCCGTCTGTGCTGGTGATCCGCAGGACAGGGCCTGAGAGACTGAACCCGGAAGCCCGGGGCAGAGTGCGGACCCTGTGGACCCGCTCTCCCCCCTTTCCTCCTGGCTGGGGGATTGCGCAGCAGCACAAAACGCACTCCGAGTGCTAGGGCCCAGTCCAAGCAGACACGCAAACCCTTGAGGCGGCTTCCCGGCTTTGACACAAAGTCCACCTCCCTCTCGGAACTGATCACGGAGCGTCTAGAACCAAATACACCACGAACAGCCCCAAGTAACGAAATGCCAGGACCGTTGTTGATTCTGTTTATTACGAGGGTCCTCCAGCCTTACAGCCCCGGCCCGGCAGCGCCGTCCCCACATCCACAGCGAGGTCACCGGGCAGGGCGGTAAACCGGCCCCTGGCGTTACAGTGACAATGTAGGGTGTCCCTGCCAGGGGAACCGAAGACCAAGCGTGGTGGCCTCACCCCAGGCCTGCCGGGACAGACCTGCGCCGCCGTTCCGCTACCTGGGCCGGTGAGACCCCAAAGGGCCGGGAAGAGCGTGGGGTGCGGCAGAGCGGGAATTTGTTGGCACCATCCGATGATCTGGGCGCAGCAGAGACGCTGCTGGGGTCCCTCTGTCCCCCTCCTGCCCGGAGGCCCCCGCCGAGGAAGAGATTGGCTACAGGACCCTGGTCCACCGTGGGACAGGCTGCTTCCGCCGGCAGTGCCCCGACCAAGCCTCTCGGGGAGCAAAGCCACTCGTGGGAGCTGCCCCTCCGCCTGCCCAGCCTGGGGGCCTGCAGGGGAGCCGGGGCCGGCCCCTCACTGGCACCAGGGGGAAACTAAGGCACAGCACAGGCACCCACAGGTGTGACCATACACTGCTCGTAAAAAAGGAAATGGCATTCACTTCTGTACTTCACTCTGCTCAAAACAATATGTGCATTTTTATAAAGTTTCCCTGAATGGTCTTGTGTCCAAAAAGTTTTCTTTGCCAATATAAAACAGGAAAATTACAGACATAGTAAAAATACCAGGGGAGTATTTCTTTGTAGAAACCGTCCGGGGTGGCCGCGGCAGGGGAGAGGGGGAGCAGGGCTCATCGCCGTGCAAGGCCCAGCTCAGACCCATCTCCTCCGGCCTGGCTGCCACACGGGGCTTCAAAGGACTGGCCACCCCTGCCCCCCAGATTCAGTAAGCACCTTCCAGGCAGCCCACCTGGCCCACCCTGACCAGGGACTGTGGCGTGTAGTGGGCGAGCCCGTGTGGCCCAGTCTTTCGCAAACGAAGCAGAAACGATGGAACATGCTCATTAAATGAACCCACGAGGGGAGGACCACGGTTCCAGGTGGGGAGGGAGGGCGCTCTTCCCCCAGACGGAGAAGTCCGTCAACGTTACAAGACTTAGAAATCACACCGAAAACAAACCCACGCGACCGCGGCGGAGGCCTTGCACACACAACCCCCGGGTACCAAACCGGGTCCTACGGCTACTTACCGCTGACCTACTAGTTCTAAAATCAAATGGGTGCGCTGGCCCAGGGCACCAGCACCCTGGTCCTCACAGCCTGTGCGTGCAGAGGCCCGGCCGGCAGGTGCGGCCTCCCAGGCAGGACGGGGGAGGCTCACTGGAGGATGAAGCCGGGCTGGTGTGGCGGCAGCCGCGGCGGGGGTCTCTGGGGGAGAGCGGGCGGGTATGGAGACACGAACTGCATGGAGAATCCTTGCTGGGGGGGCAGGCCCACGCGGGGGGGCAGGGGCGGGCACTGGGATCCCGGGTACGGGAGCGCCTGTCCTGAGCCCATGGCGGCGGTAAATGGCGTGGCCAAGCGTCCTGCAGGCACCGGAGGCGGAGGCGGGGGGATGCGCCGAGGTAACATGGAGGGGGGCCCACTGGCCTCTGAGGTAGGGTAGGGCAGGGGGGCGGCGGGCACCGGCTCGGGCACCCTGGGCAGCAGCGGGGCCGGCGCAGAGGCCTGCGGAAGTCTCTGCCCCTTCAGCACCAGCTCCTGGAGCTTCTCGATTTTCACTCTTCGCGTGTGGGCCAGTTTCCGCTGGCTCTGATAGACATCGATGAAGGAGTCCAAAGGAAGCTCTCCGTCCAGAAACTTCTCTGCCATGTTCTGAAAGTGGCAGGAGAACAGATTACGGGGACAGGTCAGCCCCCAGGGAAGGAAGCTCCCTTCACCGCCCAGGGAGAGGCAGCACCCAGCCTCCTTCCATCCCGTCCCCCACTTATCCCACCCGCCACGCGCTCCCCACTGCAGACCGCAGACCTCAGAGGAGGCCCCCACCCGCCGCAGAGAGAAGGGGAAAGAGGCAGCTGGTCCAGGCCGCCTGCCGCGCCCCATGAGCTGCACACGGCTGCAGGCCCAAGGGGGAGCCAGCCTCAGAGGAAGCGGGCTCAGCCCCGAGCTGCTGGGCTTCTGCTGGGCTTCGAGGCGCAGAGGAAACCACCCCACCCGCTTCCCACGCTCTCACCGAGCAGCCGGAGCCGCATCCTTCCTCCCGCCAGCTGCTCCCTCACAGACACGCCCCCAACGGGCTCAGGGGGCCAAAGCAGGCTCGTCCCCACCAGGGCCCCCACCCAAGCCCAGCGGTGAACTCGACCATGCGGCCGAACCTTGCTACGATTGTGCAACGTTTGACCCTTACTCAGGCCGTATCTCTTAGTGAGGCTCCAACCCTGAGCGCTCCACGGCCGCACAGACTCCGCCCCGCGCGCGGATCGGAGCCCCCGGTCCTTGGCAGCCCTGGCCAGCGCGGACTCGCAGGACGGTGCACACCCGCCGCTGGAGCACCGGACCCACTACCGCCCCCTGGCTGCGGAGCAACGGGCCGCCCACCGGCTCCCAAAGTGGCCCAGACCCTGGCAACTGTGCTCTGGGGCCCCGCGCCCACACTGGCTGGCTTTACCTCGGTGTCTTCCTCAATCTTGGCCCCTTCGGCCTGCAGGAGCGCCAGCAGCGTCTCCAGGGAAGCGCTGCTAGACTGCTGGTCTGGAAGAAGCAAGAGGCATGATGAGAGGAGGGGGCGGCCGGGCCACAGCCCCTCAAGCCGCTCTAGAACACCCCCAGACTCCGTGCCACCCTCCTCTCAAAGAGGGGCGCGTTTTAACTGGGAAGGTAGCAGCCGGCTTTCCAGGAAGCAAGGCCTTAAAATCCAGGAGGAAGGAGCACACAGGACAAAGCAGGACAGACTCAGGGCTGCGCCACGCATCCCACACCCCATGTCACCGTCACCGGCCCTACAGAGGCTTGTCACCCAACATGTGAGATGACCGGAACCGCCCCACACAGATCTCGGCTGTATTCATTTCTGAGTGGTAACGTACATCGACCAGGAGGAATTTAAGCCCAGGACCTCAGTTTTCTCAAGTGTATAAACCCCAAGCACCACCGCCCAGATCAGGATACAGAACACGCACAAAGGCTCCCCAGGCCCGCTCCCAGAGACCGCCCCTGAGGCAGCCCCGATGCCCGGCCCTGCCTGGCTGGGAGGCTCACGGGAGCACATCACCCAGGGCGAGCTCTGTGCTGGCTCCGGTCCCCCCCCACCGCAGACCTGACAGCCCCTCGCCTCCCTCAGTGTCCACTGTGCGGAGACCAGACTCACGGACCCAGCCTTCTGCACACGGACATGCAGGCGGTTTCCACACTCGGCCGTTACCAACAAAGCTACCACGAGCACCCTCGGGCCCATCCGTCTCTGCCGGCGGCACACCCGGGGCGGACTGGCTGGATCAGAGTGAGCACAGGGCGCCTTCAGGTAGGTCCTGCCAAACCACTTTTCCCAAGGTGCTTTTTACCGATCTACATCACAACGCACGTCCTCCAGCCAGGGAAGAACCCCTCTGTCGGGCCTGCCTCCGAGCTTGCACTGGGGTGGCACAGCGCTGGGGGCGACCCCGTACCAGGCCTCCCGTCCGCCTCACTGGAGGGCGGGCTTTTACCCCTCCTTCCCCGCAGCGGCCCGGAAAGCCACGCAGAGCCCGCGCGACCCCATACTCTGTTCCTACAGCTCCGTCATGACCGTCAATCGAAGTGTGACGTTACGATGACACGTCCCCACGAGGAGTACATCTGAACATTAACCCTGTGTTAGTGTTAGTGGGCCTGGCCCACAGGAGAGACCGCGCTCTCCTGATGATTCAGAACATGACTTTTCTGGGCTGTTTGCACAAGGTGAAATTTTGTCTGAAAAGTGGCTAAGTCTCTTCTCTAAGCAGGCAGAATGATTCTGTAAGTTAACTTTCTCTGTGGCATGACCCAGGGTCTCGACCTGGAACTTTCCCGCGGGGACGCTGCTCTCCCCGCGACCCAACAGCTTGCAAACGTGCCCTTCCCTCCACTCTTCATTCTTGCAAGGATCACCCTGGAAAAGTTACCTAATTTGGTCTTCTTTATCTGATAGGCTTCAAAGAGAACCTGGAGTTCCTGGTATTTTTGGGTCAAACGTGCTTTCAGGGCGTCGAGCTGGGGCTGGTACAGGAGGTTTTCTTCCGCCAGGCTCCGGTTGCCGGCGAGCGTCATTTCTTTGTTGAGCTGAACATTCTGCGTCTGCAAGGAACACGGCACGATGAGAACCAATGGGTGTCAGCTCACAGACCCGTCCCCCGGGGCTCCCCACACCCCCCCACCCCACACACAGCTGCCACATGCTTCCCGCGGCCTGGCGCCCGGCCAAGACCCTGAGACCGCATGCGGGCCACTCCGGGCCCAGACTCCAGCCCCTCTGGGTTTCCAGCATGGACGCAGCTCCCTGTTCTCAAGAGCAAAGCCACTTCCGTTCCGACAACTCGCAGACGGGCGGCCGTGTGACTTGCCCAGGCTCTCTGCTCCGCTAGCGGCGCGGGGGCTGGGATGCCTTCCTCCTCCCTGCGCTTGCAGGACTCAACAGCTGTGCACATTCAGGGCGAGATCAGTTCCAAACCCGCTTCTGCAGCTCCACAGGAAGTCAGGGAATCACGTTTAACAGCAGAGAACCAGCCGGCATGATGTCAATCCAGGCCCAGTCATCAGGCTCAGAGATCAAACACGAAAGCCTGACACCCCCGGGGATGAATTCCGCTTACAGTGACCCTGCTCGCTCTCCCACGCCCACCTCTGGCTCCTCCTCGACTGGGAGGACGGCGGGAGTCCTCCCGGCTCCAGATCCAAGGCTGGGGCGGATCTGCCTGTCCGGCGTGACTTGGGAGGAAGCCGTGGCGCCCCAGACCACAAGGGTGAGGGAAAGTGGACGGGTCTGAGACAAGGTGAAGCATTTCTAACAAAACTCAGCAACGCTATGCTCAAAGAAAACCCCAAACACAGGGTCCGCCACCCGTGCTGGCTGGCGACTGGCCTCCGCCACCACTGCCTGCCTCGGCAGCCGCACTGCGCGGACCTGAGGCCTCCACGGAGCACCGTCCTGCCCCGCTGTGCTCGTAGCTTCCCAGCAGCCCGAAGCCGTTACCTCGTTTCCCCCTGATATCTGCTGCCACCGCACCCAGGCTATTTTCGCCGACTTCCTTCCTCCTGAGAGTCTGGGTGCAGATTTCCCACTGCGTGGCCTCCCGCTCCCGCCAAGCCCACCCAGGGTGCCAGGCCTGCTCCCGAAGCGGTCTGCACCCGCGCACCCATTGCACACGCGCCCTGGCCCCCGGTCCCCACAGCAGACACGGGGTACCTTCCACACCCAGGAGCTGGGCCAGGGCCCTAAAAATTTGGCTTGCCTTAAAACGGGATTTAAATTAAGGATTTAAATTAAGACAGAAACTTGAGCCTCTAGCTCACCGCTACAACGTGAGTGCAGCAGAAACACCCTCCTCCTGCTGCTTCCAGCCGGCAGGGAGAGTCGGGGCCCTCGTGTAGCGCAGAGTGCCGGGAGCTGCTGCGCGAGAGGCTCTCCTTCTACTGTTAAGCCAGCTGGGAGAACAAACAAGCATAAACCTTGTCTAGTCCACTCAAGACCACAGCTCAGCAACTGCTTTTAAAACTAAACATGCAGGGGCGCCTGGGTGGCTCAGTGGGTTAAGCCGCTGCCTTCGGCTCAGGTCATGATCTCAGGGTCCTGGGATGGAGCCCCGCATCGGGCTCTCTGCTCAGCAGAGCCTGCATCACCCCTCTCTCTGTCAAATAAATAAAATCTTAAAAAAAAAAAAAAAACTAAAAACTAAACTAAACATGTAACTATCATGCGACCCAGAAACTGTACTCCTGGGCATTCACCCCTGGGGAAATGAAAACTTATGTTTACACAAAACCCTGCACGCAAATGTTCAACACGGCTTCATTTGTGACAGCCCAAACCCCGAAACCAGGCAGCCGTCGTCCACCGGGGGACAGACGGCAGCACCAAGCGCGCCCCATCCACGCCACGGAACACCGTCAGTCCTAAGGAAGGACGCCTGACACACATGGCAACTTGCAGGAGGCGCCAGGGAACCAAGCTGAGAGCGGAAAGCCAGCACGGGGGTCACACGCTCGAGGAGCCGGTGTACACCACGCTCCTGAGGGGGCAGTGGCAGAAATGGAGACAGCTGAGTGGTCGGGCAAGGACCTCAGGAAGAAGGCTCACGGGCACGGGATCTGCTCTCCCGGATCCGGACAGGGTCAATGCCACGGCTGTGAGGCTGTGGCACACGGGATCACTTTAGTTTCTTACAATCGCTTGTGAATCTACAACTACCTCAAAATTTAAATTCTAAATCAAGAAGCTGCTGAGTTTCTCTACAGCCCACCCCCTGGCACACCAGTCTCATCTGACAGCTGAGAAGGGGCAAGTTTTCAAGGCCACAGTCAGGCCCCAGCTGCCAGCACTCCAGCATTCAGACTCGATCTTCAGCCTTTGTTCAATAAACGCTGGCTGGGCAACAACTACTTGCCGAGCCGAAGGAGGCGCAGAGCACTGAGAGGAAGACGACGCTCCTACTGAGGCCTACAGACTCAGTCGTCACAACTGGAATGGACCTCAGCGGACCTTAGCCCGGTTAAACGGAACGGACCTTAGCACGCCCTCACTGCTGGGGTGCAGGGGACCTGGTCCCCACCTGCCCACCAGCCCTTCCCTCCACCGCCTCCGGAGCTCAGGTCTGCTCATCCCACAGGCTCCTTCTCGCGGGGCCCCACACCCATGTCGTCACTGCCACTGGCGACAATCGGCAAACAGGAAATTTGTGTCCCTGCTCACGGTCTCCCTCACCGAATGCTAACACAGGCAGGGTCTCGGTGTGCCAAACACCTCCCGGGGGTCACACAGTAGGGCTCTGCTGAGTCAGAGATCCTTCCCTAACCCCAAAGCTGGTCACTCAAGGCCAGGTCCGGCAAATAAGATGGACCATATACCGTGGAAGGGGGGACAAAGCTGTGTAGGACAAGCACCCAATGCCCCAAACCCTTGATGCAGACAGGCCCCCTGATCAAGGCCTCGAGACCGAGGCTGGGGCGGGGCGGTTCTCACACTGGATCTGAGGCTAATTCTGGAAGCAGGGTTTCCATCTTCAGCAGAGGCATGGCTGTGAGCAAAGATCTCTGTAGGGACCACGGAAAGGCGCTCGCATCCCAAAGCGCCTGCCTCCAACATGTGGTTAAAGGACTGCTCTTGCGCAGTGCTCCCCCGCGGCGGCCGGACCTGAGAACCACCGGAGGGGAGGGGTGCTGGCTGGCTCAGACCAACCCCGAGTCAGCCGAATCCTCCAGAAGGCCCAGGCCTGGGTCCGGCTATGCACGCCGCTCTGGTCTCCGTGTATAACACAGCTACAAAGAAATCTTATTCTCGTAGGGTCTCGAACAGGTCAAAAGCACATCTCCCGTGTGTTAGGAAGTCCTAGAAGAGAGCAGCCCAAAGCTGCACGGCTAGGATCGAAGGGCGCTCTGCTTGCACAGGACGCATGAAGGCTGGTGTAAGCCGCCAGCCAGCAAGGGCCCAATCAAAGGACAAGTGACACCCGTCACAGGCCATCATTTGTTTACAGCCTTTGGGTGTTCAGATATTTTTACGTCAGTAAATACCGGTAAGTTCTGAGTGGCTACCCAGAGCACATCCATGGCTCTCTCCAGGGGACAAGGCCAGGACAGCTTAGAAGCCCCTGCTAAAGCCAGCCCAGCCCCGAGAGCCTCAGAACACGCCCGGAATGCAGGATTCATGCAGAAACAGACTCTTTGCTCCGGAACACTCCTTTCTGCCGCTCAGATTGGAAATGGGGAGGAAAGAGCCAGTCTTGTTCCATCATTTGCAAAGCAAAGGCGACCTGGCTGGAACGGCCTTGGCCCTCTCCGTGGGGACGGCACAAGCACGCTCAGCAAGGCCAAGCGACAGCCGCCGTGGGCGACACCCAGCCCAGCCCCACACCTCCCATAAGACCGAGCCCAGCCTGGGCGCCTGACTGGATCCGGGCCGTGAACCTGAGAACGCCTGTGGGGTCACCACGGTGCAGGAGGCCGGTCACAGGGCCACCAGACCCCGGGGACAGAAAACCGTGCTGCTGACCTCTCCATGGTTCTCATGAGCCTTTTTGTCAACCACAGAGAAACCCTTTCAGGAAGCAGCCCCGCTGTGGTAAGGACACGTTTTTAAATCACGGACTCCAGTTTCCTTTTCTGCTCCTAATCCCAGAAAAACAAGATGCAGGATTGTAGCCGGCGGAGCAGCACCCCAGTTCTCTCCTCCCTTCCACCTCTCCCCCTCCACGAGCGGTCTGGACTGATGTTCACGCCAAGTTAACAACAGCAACCTCTCAACGATTTTCTTTTTTAAACTTTCCTATTTCTCCTTGTACATGGTGCCTAATTCACTACAAGCATGCATGAGTTTACAGGAAGAAAGCTGTTTTTAAAACAACCTGTTAGTACTAGAACCAGAAGAGCAGAGGCTCTAGAAAAATAAGCTGTTTCAAATTAAAAAAAAAAAAAGGGTGACACAGGTGAAGGGGATTAAGAGATACAGACTTGAGTTCCACATTTGTGTTGGAGGCAGAGAGTACAGCAGAGGGAACACAGTGATACTGTAACAACGCGGGAAGGGGACAGATGGGGACCACGCTTATCCTGGTGGCTGAATCATCTGCACACGCGTCCGAGCACTACGTGCTCCGCCTGAAACGGATGACGTTACAGGGCAGCAACAGACAAAAATAAGGACCGTCGACCACATATCACACACATCACACACACACACACACTCTCCCTCTCTCTCCCACTTCAGAAAAAGAAAACCGGGTGCCTGGTGGCTCAGTCGTTAGGCGGCTGCCTTCGGCTCAGGTCGTGATCCCAGGGTCCTGGGATCGAGTCCCACATCGGGCTCCCTGCTCGGTGGGAAGCCTGCTTCTCCCTGTCCCACTGCCCCTGCTTGTGTTCCCTCTCTCGCTGTGTCTCTCTGTCAAATACATAAATAAAATCTTTAAGAAAAAAGAAAGAAGGAGAAAGAAAACGAGGTATTTTAGACATGCTCGTCCAGGCAGAAACGTGAAGACCCCTTTGTCTCCGGCGATGCTCACGTTAATCCAGGAAGGTCCCGCAGCCCGCACGTGCTACCTCACACGCAGGCCGTTCTGTCTGAATCTGGGCTGGGGAAGTGTAGT